TTCCATACATTCACACAGCCGGCCCAGGGCCTGGATTCTCTTAACCAACTGGCGCTGCACAACTGCCTGAATTTCCGAAGTTGCGCAGAGGCCGAAATAAGGCCCTGAGGGGCCTCATCGAGCCAGCCTTCATTTAGGGGGGCCGACAGGCTATCAAAAAGGGGCCGAATGGGCTCATAGAGGCAGTGGCCTCGCAATATAGTCAAACAGAGCTGCCCGGTAAACCGTAGGCAGAGAGAGAGAAGACTCAGAAGAGGACAGCAAACGAGGGGCTGTGACAAACTGTTTCGTCGGAGTTTCACCGACTTATCAGGAGGCTGAACCCTATATATAATACTCAAATATTAATCATTGATTCATCATCATCATCATCATTGCCATCGTCGTCGTCATCATCATCATCATCATCATCATCATCATCATCATCATCTTTGATGCACAGAGAATGTCCAACCCGGATATAGCATTCCCAGTCAGACCAGAATACACTGCTTCAATCACTGTCATGCCATGACCGAGAATCTCCTTCAAGTTGTCCGCCCATCACTGCCTTTGCACATATCCACCCTGCTAGCATCATCTAACGCACTTTGAATTTGGTCAGGGTCAATTCCACTTGCACTGGACAACTATCAATGCAATCAATGCAATTATAGACCCTAACTCACAAACCGGTCAACACACCAGAAGATGGGAACGCAGTTCAGCACACCAATCCTAAGGTTGCAAGCTGATTGCACGAATTTGGTCGACCACTCGAATCGAAAACTGATGATACATCGTCTAGGCATCCAATCCGATTACAAACCTGCAAAGGAAGCTGAGCAGTTCCGATTACAAAGAGTAGCACGTATATAGTATATACACACCTGCATGCTTATAACATGGGAGGGATGTCCTCGGGTTACGCCAATGCCCTTCCGTCACATAAATATTGAGTGCACAGAGGCGTTCCACTCACCGAAGTTAGAGCAAACGGTTGATAGGTATTCACTCACAGGGTTATCAAATTCCATCTCCATTATGCCAACACCCCTCCTCCACATCGATGTCAAGAGATTCATTCCATTCTTCAAGATTGATCCCCGCATAGCAAGCCGATTTCCAGGCATCATTCTTCTCATAATCCCATGAACAGGGATAATGAGCAGAAGCAGAAGCAGAAGCAGAAGCAGAAGCAGAAGCAGAAGCAGAAGCAGAAGAAGCAGAAGGCCACGACGGACTTCTATCGCCACCTGCATTGTACTCCTTGGCAGAAGTCTTTCTGCAATTCTCGGTTTTGAGTGTGCCCGCGGGAGCCACAGCGGTTGAACGAGATGTGGAAGGAAGTGCAGGTCCATCGGGCCCGTGTTCTGAGCCCTTAGTCGGGTCCTTGTCCCCGATAGGCATGTCTCGTATGCTGCTCCTGCTGGATTGCTTCGTTATGGTAGATGCAGCAGAGCTAGTCCCAAAGCTACCCTTCACGGACATTTCGTGTTTCATGGCAAGAGCAGGCTCGATGACCAGCTTCTCTCCAACCACCTTGGCAGGGGTTCCGGCAACCATGCTGTGGGGTGGGACATCATTGAGGACCAATGACCCCGCGGCCACCATCGCTCCCTTGCCGACCACGATATTGCCAAGAACCGTGGCACCTGCACCAAGAAGCACACCATCACGGATCTTTGGGTGACGGTTACCCGCCTCCTTGCCCGTGCCACCCAAAGTGACAGCCTGCAGTAATGATACCCGATCCCCAATCACAGTCGTCTCTCCGATCACAACTCCCGTCCCATGGTCAATGAGAATCCCCCGGCCGATCTTTGCCGCAGGGTGGATGTCCATGGCAAAGACCTCCGAGATGCGACTTTGAAGCGCTAGCGCCAGCACCTGCCGTCCCCGTTCCCAAAGCGCGTGGGCGATTCTGAATGCCTGCAACGCCTGGTAACCTTTGAAGTACAATAAAGCGTAGTGATATGACGTGCAGGAGGGATCTCGATCCTTGACAGCCTGGACGTCCGCACGGATAGCTTGTCGCACATAGTTATCGCCTAAAAGCACATCTTCGAAGATCTGCTTAAGCTCGGTGGCCAGCAGCGTCGGGCTCTGCAGGCGATTGGCCAAAACGAAACCTAGGGACTTCTCAAACTGAGGGTGAGCGAGAATGCTGGCATACAGGAAGCTGCTAAGGAGGGGTTCTTTCTCAGCCTCCAACCGTGCTTCTGCTCGGACCGCCGCCCAAATTGGATCATCGGAGATCAGTTCAGGAAGAGCCATGGCTCCATCCGATGGCAGGCGCGCTGCAGAATGGGCCGGTGCACCCAGCGTAACATGACGCCCAGTGTTATCTCCTGCTGGGGGTGAAAGGGTGACAGCTTTGACCTGTGCAACTGCATTCACAGCTGCCATGGCGGCCTTTGCTGCCGCAGCATCGTTCACTCCCTTCACTCTCTTCTTCGACTTCTTCCTGCCTCCACCACTTCCTTCCGCGCTCATTAACCCACTGTTTGCCACGTTGCTACAGCCGTGGTTGCTATTCCCCCCTCGTCCCGGTCCCTCCCTTTCTTTGGTCCCTCGAAGCCTCGCTTCCTCGCTTCCTTTTCTCCCTCTCGTGCCATCTCCACTGCCCTTCTCAACCCATTCCTCAACAATCCTGACCTCGCTCCCCTCCTCCCCCTCCTCCGCCTCATCATCCCAGGCCATTAAAAAATCATCTTCATTGCTTTGCATGTAAGAAGGAAAACCCTGGCTCCACTCCTGATCTATCTGTGTTACATGTCCGTTTAGCACAATCCTCTTGTGCCGTGCCCTCTCTGAAGCAGTGCTTTTGTCTGTGCTACTGTCATTACCTGCATCTCCTCCCATCGTCCCACCATTTTCACCGCTGTCAAGAGTGGGCTCAGCGCCCCCTCCATCGCCTTCACCAGCCCCACGCTTTTCCTCATTTGTCACTGTGCCACCCCCTTTTTGACTGCTCCCTGCTGAAGAAACACTGCAACCTTTGGCATGAAACGTCTCTGCCACTCTCCAACCTGTTGAATGGACCTTCTCACCAAAACCCATTTCTGACAGGAACGACCTATCGTGATCATCCAAGCCCTCACAGCTCTCATAACTCAGCCAATCAATTTCTTCCCCCGTTGTCTCCTTCTTGTCTTCGCTGCAACACTCCCTCCCATGGAAGTCCTCTTTCTCAACTCCCTCCTTCCATGTTTCACGCCCTGCACCCGATGTCTTCTCTAAACAATTTCTTCCTCCTGCGAGCTCGATGGGGGCATACTGATCACAATGTCGATCCTCCAGCAATGTCTCTCGACAACCCAACCCATCATCTATTCCTCCTCCTCCTCCTCTTTCATCACCCTGAGCAACCCCCTCCTGCCTGCGGACGGTCCCCACCGCACTTGCCTTATCATCATCATCCAATGGGCCGTTATGGACTCCAGAGGAGCTGCAAAATGAAGGAGACAACCGCAGGGACGACGCTCTCCTACCATTTTGTAGCCCCCAACTGAGCGGCCAACAACCCAACTTTGGCACCATCACCACTGCATCAGCAGAGAACGGGAGCCATGCTGGTAATAACGAGCATGCGCCTCTGGGGAAGGGAGAGAGCCGAAAGCAACAGGTGTCAAGAGGTGGAGAACCGACAAACGACTTTGCATGCTTCAGATGCTCCTCGTCAGGGGTGGGCAACTTGGGGTTGCTCGCATGATCCCCAAAAGGTTCCACATAAACATTTTGTCGTTTTGTTGCCTCTGATCTTTGTGCCACCATCGACACTTCCCGGCTAGAGCTTTTCCATCCAATACCTCGTTCCCTGAGTTGTAGACGCTGGAAATCATAACTGCTATCCCCCCGGATTTGGATACCTGAGAGGGGGGGGGATGGCCGACTCGTGCTGCTGCAGCTGCTCCCCTTCCGGGATTCGAATTGGTCCGTAGCCGGAGGGAGCCCACATGGCAATCCATCAAGTGCATGCCAACTCCTCCGCGTGCCGCACCAGCACCTGTGCAAATTAACAGTTACCTTGCCCGTGGGCGGGGAAGGCAGCAGTGCACATCGCTCCCGTGCGAGGATGGGTTTGAAGCTCCTCCCCAGTCCCTTACAAACATGAAACCCTAAACCATTATTTGTCAGATCCAGGGGTGCACTTCTTGCCCAGGACTGTCTGACAAGGTCACTCGCTGCCCAGCCTCTGACGTTGGCTTGCGCACGGACGAGAGGGACGGCCATCTGCACACACAATTTCACAATCCGTAAGGAAAAAAGGTAAGGCGAAACACAGCAAAGGAAGAGGGCCTGCAGACTGTCAGACGGTAAGCCCATGCTGGGGCCCCTTTTGGCCTCCCGCCCTTCGGGCACGGGAAGTGTCTTGCTCTGTAGAGTATCAGGCAGTACGCCCATAATGGGTTCCATTATGGCCTCCCTCCATCTGACCATGAAACTGATGTTGGCCATACAGAGACAGGGAATGCATCCGATATGGAAAGTTATTATTGGTAGGAGCGAAGTGCAGTTTTGCTGCTTTGGAGCCATGCTCCTGCTAGTATGTGTTTTGCTGCCAGTACGCTGCTTGTCTGTTGCCATGCTGTTGTACAGCTGCAGTACTGTCAGTCTTGCTGCCGCTACTTTGCTGAGGCTATGCTGCTGCTTGTCATATGCTGTTACGTTACAGCTGCTGCTATGCTTTTTTTTTTCTTTTTTTCTTTTTTTTGTTATTCCAGCTGATATGTCACTTCTATGCTGCCGCAGCTCCTGTGCCCTGTCATGCTCTTGCTTCTGCTCTTCAGCTTTTTCCTGACGTTGCTCAGCTAGCCTTCTTCTGCTAGCCATATGCTGCTCATGCGGCTATACTGTGACCGTGCTCTTGTTCTGGTGATGATGCTGGTATGTCGTCAGTATGCCACTGTGCTACCACTTCTGCTGCCTTTGCCACTGTGGCTGTCACCTTCCCTATTCTTCTGCTACTGCTGGTATGGATTAATGCTCTTGCTATCTCTTGCGCGGTTACTATACTGCTGTGTACTGCAGTGATGCTGCTATTCCACAGCTTGTTCTGGTGCTGCTATGCACTTCTTTAAAGTTCTTTTCATGTTGCTATGCTATGCTCCTTCCAATTCTGTGTTGTGCAGCTATGTTGTGCCTGTGCTGGTCACCTATGTTCTGCGTACGCTAGTCGGCTATGTTGTGCCTTTGCTTCTGTACTGCTGCTGCTGCTGCTGCTGCTGCTGCTGCTGCTGCTTCTGCTTGCCTCTGTGCTGCTGTGCTGCCTGTGCTGATACTCTGCTACGCAGCTGCTATGCTCTTGAACTGCAATCAGAACGCTGCTGCACTGCAGCTGCGTTGCTGGTACGCTCTTATGTGGTGAGAGAGAGAGAGAGAGAGAGAGAGAGAGAGAGAGAGAGAGAGAGAGTGCTGAACCTCCAGGCTCACCATAGCTGCCCCTGCACCCTTCAATGCTGGTACGGTGAGCTCCGTCACAGCAGCATACACGATCACTTCGAAGTACCGAATGGTAAATGTGCCCACGCACCCACGGTTTGTGCATGGAGCGCTGTCCAGGGTGTGTTGCGGTATTGCTGTGGGACCCACCAACCCGTTATGCCCAGCGCAGAAGAGAAGCAAACAGAGCTTGAATCAGAACGTGTTCGCCGGCAGGTGCAAAAAACCGTGCTGCCTGCTTCTTTTCTGCCTATCTGCACATGCGAACATGCACTTATCGGCGAACACGTCCGGATTCGACTGCTGAGCCCATTCGCATTCGCTAGGGGGAGTGCGCCATCGGGTGGTACCGGGCCCGCGGCGAGGCGATCGCTTCAAATTCATGACCGTGCAGGCGGCCCCTAACTCGACAGGGAGAAAAATCAAATACAAGCAAATAAACACCACTCCCCCAAAAAATCCCCCATCTGCGATCAGCGGTGTGACCATGCAGATAGCACACGGAGTGGACAGTCGCGGCGATGTCTCATTCTAATTTTGCTGTTTTGCAACCCGTGCGTGAGTATGCGGCCCACGTAAATCTCAAAATGGCTTTGCAAAATTGCAGATTTTGCAACTTTGGTCACTCTGTGTGAGTATGCCCTAACAACAACTACAATAATAATAAATAAATTTAATAAAATTTAAATTAAAAATAATATAATTAATATTAATAAATTGAATTAAATAATAATAATTAAGTATATACTCTCAAATAATAATAATATTACTAGTATTAATATTAAAATAGTAGTAATAATAATAATAATAACAACAACAAGAGCAAGAGCAACAACACTGATGATTTTTTTTTGATTTTTTTTTTCACTGATAAATTAATAATAGTTAACAATGGAGGTGTTTTTCTCGTCTTGTTGTTAGCAGGTTTCACTTTCTGTCGTTGCTCAGCCGTGCGACCCTTTTGGGAACATCAGATTGACTCCAAGTGCCATGGAAGTGGCAGAGATGATGCTATGTGGGTCATCGTCCATGCATGCTCAACGGGACCCAGCCCTTAATTCAGGTGGATGCGACGATTGCTTGCCAGGTGATTATCCGACCACACCAGTGGCAGTCACTCGCTCTGATTGTGCGATGGACGTTGAAGGCTCCTATGACGGGTGCTCAGAAAGGACAGACCTTGCGAGCCATTTTGCCGGCGAAGATGCGGCCTCGCCGATGATGATGATTACTCCGTCTACGCCACGAGCGGTTGGCCTAGGGCGAGGTGGAAATCTGGGATTTGTTGGCCAAGGTCTTCGAGAGCAGCGCCAGCACTGCGGGAGCGCCAAGTCCCATGCTACTCCCCCCTCCAGTGGGAAGGACGTCGATGGGACGCCATATTTTGATGATAACGACAGCTTCGGCATGCAATTGGGATCTAGCTTGGATGGCGATTTCCCTTGCTATGAGGACGGTCTGTGCTCCACCGGAGGGCGCCATATCGATCTCGACACATGGCTTAAGCGTGAAGCGGAAAAGGCCAGTGGGGGCTCAAAGAGCACAGAGATGACGATCGACGATTCTTTCAGAGGTGACGACGGCAGCGGAGAACAGAGGCTATTCCAAGAGCAGCACAGGGCAATGCCATTGACACCCAAACAGCTGAGAAGACAGACTGTAGGAGGCATGTCAGAGGTTGCCGTCAGCGTCATCAGTGTGGTGGATCAGACAGCTCAGAGGGGGCGTGTGGGTTCAAAGACAGAGCGAGTGCTCGAGTTTGGCCATGCGGCCGAGAGTCCGCGGCCCCGATGCCAGGCTGACTTCTGCAGTCAACAACAGTCCCATCTGCGAAGAAGCAAGGACAGGGAGGGATGTGTCCTGAATACTGGGGAGAGCGGCGGCGACGACCAGCACACAGGGACGGAGAGAGGAGGAGACATGGAGAGGGGTACGAGGGGGTCGGCGTGCCCATCCATGAGCTTAAGAACAGAAGCAGGCAGCGAGGGGCTTGCTGAGCGAGACCTCCGAGATGAGGATGCTGCTCGCTTTGGCTTTGACGCTACGGATCAGCAGAATAGTGAGGAGTGGGGGTACTGCGACGAGGTACAGTCGCCGGTGCTGCGACCAGGTCATGAGCATCGGCGAACTCAGTCCTTTCGATTCTGGGGAGATGGAAGTGGTGGAGAGAAGACAGATGCGGAACCGATCGATAGGGACGTGCCGTACGGAGAACAGAGGGGAACCGAGCTGCTGCCCGGTACGGCTAAGGAATGTACCAAGCCCAGTCTGAGAGAGAAGGAATGGAGTTGGGATCAAGACCGGCAGTTGGGACATCAGAGTGGGCGGGAAAGAAACCTCAGCCTGAGCAAGGAGAAAACCGTAAGCCCGCACTGTGCGAGAGGACCTGGCGAATCGCGCTATCCTGCATGCCATGGGGAGAGTCACTACGATTCCAGGCCGGGAGAAAGAGAAGAAGCAGCTCAGGAATCAAATTGTGAGAAGCGGAAGGACGGGCGGAAGGCAAGGGAGCGGAAGAGTTTGAGGAGCTCAAGCACGTGCAGAGAGAAAGGGGTCAGTCCGGAAAGCGTCAGAAAGACGTCAGCGGGGAATTTGGAAGCCCAGGTGGAAAGAATGGCTGCACGGCTTGCACTGGTGGAAGCGACGTCGGATGCTCGGGAGGATGCGTACAGATGTCAGCTCGATGCGGCCACGCATCAGCTTACACGTTGTTTCAGACAGAAGGCACTGATGGAAGCAAGAGTAAGTGTACGTACCAGTTTGAATCATTACAGAGGTTTTTCTTTCCTAAGAGGGGAAAGGGGAAGTTCGGGGGGGGGGGGGGGGGGGGGGGGGGGGGGGGGGGAGGGGCATGGAATTCCTAAGAGTGGAAAGAGGAAGGCCGGGGGGAGGAGGGGTGGAAGGGGGGAGGGGCAGGGAAGGGGGGAGGAAAGGAAGAAGAACAAGGCGGCCTCAGTTTGTCTTTTTTTTCTCCTTCTGAAGGAAGGTCGCTTTTGTATCATTAACTGGAAACCGGGTCCAGCACCCCTTTCATCGGCCTCGGTATCAGTCTTGCTTTTGTTATAATCTCTCTCTCTCTCTCTCTCTCTCTCTCTCTCTCTCTCTCTCTCTCTCTCTCTCTCTCTCTCTC